AGACTGTAACTGGAATTTCCGCTCAAAAGATATATCAATGCTACTACTGTATCATTGGATGAAATACTATTGCTATCTTGTAGAAATGGAATGAAGTATTATCACTAAAAGAACTCTAGTCTAAAAAGCAAGCTTTTAAAAGTTTTCTATTATAAGTAAACTCTCTGGTTAAAATAAATGCTATCTTAGACACACACATACATACAAATACTGTACATATTGCTTTATTGTACAAAGCACTTACATTCCCCTACCTCGAGAATCTTCCTGAGATATTTGATACCTAGGCAACTTCTGAAGGTGTTTAAAATGGGGAACTTGACTATATTAAATAATCAAGCTTTTTCCTGTATATCATCTGCCTGGAAGCAAATAATATGTAGATTTCATATGGGACTACCTACATATTCATTAGATACTTCTTAGCTGTTAGTTATTAGATTAGATTATTGAGTTTAAAATTTCATATGAAGAATAGAGGTCATAAGATATATTTATTTTAAAAGGTTATAATTAAGAAATTTAGCAAATTCCTAGGGCTTCCCTCACTTAAGTTGAATTCCAGAATCCTTTGTTTAGGTTACATTTTTCTGAAAACTCTCTCATGCCCTCTGCTGTCCATTTATTGAATATAAATTATTAAATAAGAAAATATTCATGGGCATTTACATTTAGATGGTAAGAAATCTTCTATTAGTTGAATCAGTCTTAGGGAGCAATATATGCTAAGAAATGCTTTAAAATTTTTAAAATTATAAATGTAACATATGTTCACTATTGAAAACACACACACAAAAATGAAGAAATAATTCATTATCTCACTACTTACAGATAACCATTGTTACCAAATTGTGTATTTCCCTTTAGAATTTTTTCTACGGGATATATATTTAAATATAATTTTATGTTAAAATTACTATTATTATTACAGAAATGGGATCATACTAGACATACAATTTGGTATTCTACTCTTTTCACTTAATATTATTGTGAACTAATAGAAAAAATATATATATTGGTCTCTGCCCCCTGGCTCCTGATACAGGGTTCCCAAAACCCTTGTAGTTTCCTGGGTGATACGAATATGTTTTGTTCTAATGAGGGGCCTTTGGGTGGTCTCCTGGATGGCTCCTGGATGAGGGCTGGTCACTGGAAAGAATAAGCCATGCCTAGAAATCTCGGAATTTTTAGCTGTGAATTCCATTCTCTTGAGAAGGTAGAAGGGCTGAAAATGGTGTTAATAATCTATCATGCCTATGTGATGAAGGCTCCGTAAAAATCCCAATAGTTTGGGGTTCAGAGAGCTTCCAGGTAGGCGAACACATTCACACTGAGAGGGTGACGCACCCCAACTCCACAGGGACAGAAGCTCCTGCTCTTGAGACCCTCCCAGACCTCACACTATGTATCCATCTGGCTATTTATCTGTATCCTTTATCATATCCTCTAATAAACTGGTAAATGTAAGTTAAATGTTTCCCTGAGTTTTGTGAGCTACTCTAGCAAATTAATTGAATCTGAGGAGAGGATTGTGGGAAGCTCCAATTTGTAGCCAACAGGCAGAAGTTGTGGGTAACGTAGGGACCTACCACATGCGATTGGCATCTGAAGTGGGTGGGAGCAGTCTTGTGGGACTGAGCCCTCAACCTGTGGGATCTGACATTATCTCCACATTGTTAGTGTCTCAATTGAGTTAAATTGTAGGACACCCAGCTAGTGTCGCAGAGAATTGCCTGTTGTAGGGAGAAGCCCCACACGTTTGGTGACTAGAGTGTCAGAAGTGAATTTTTGTGAGTGTAGCAGTAGTGTGAGAGTAAAGGGGACACACACAGACGGAGAATTGTAGGTTTTCCCTACAATTATATTATGGAAATTTTCCCATATCACTGAATAGTCTTCAAATATGATTTTTAAATCGTTCCATAATATTCCAGATGAATACTAATTTTATATAACTCTCCTATTTTTGGACATTTAAGTTGCTTCAATTCTTTACTATCGTAAGTAACCCTGTAAAACAAAATTCCTTAAACATGTTTTTTTGAATAGCTCTAATTTTATGTTTACGTTAAATTCCAAAACGTACAATTTCCAAGTCACAAATACACATGTTTTTAAGGCAGTTTATGCATATTGCTGAACTGAACACTGGAAAGTTTGTAATAACTTACACTCTCACCAGCAGTATATATGTTCATGACTACAGGAATAGCATTTTTAGAACTGAAGATGTAGAAATAACCCACAAGTAAACTCTAAACAAGGGGGAAAAGTTATCTGTGATCTCCTTTCACAGTTATCTCCTTTCATTTGATGAATAATATTTTTCTTCAAAAATGTCAGGAAGATAGAAAGCCTTTTTGGTAGAGTGGTAAGAGGGCTAGATCTTCTAAGTGGGTAATCTTAAACTTTCTGAATTTGCTTCCTCATCTATATGTGAGGATAATACTTGCCCTGCTAAACAGTGTTTTGTGAGGATACCGAGATAATACAGTGAACATGCTTTGAAAACTATAAAGTCATACAGACAAAAGGTAGTGTAGCCAAGTCTCTTGTAATTTTAATGCCCCTAGTATTTTCGGCAAATAGAATTAAATAATTTAACTCTTAATTATGGGATATAGGTATAGGCTTTAACTAAATGCTTCAGTTGCTTTGGTTGTCACACAGCTTATAGTCAAAGATTAAGAAAGTACGCCAGTCATGTTTTAAAGGACTGCCTGTAAAGCAAGTTCCAGAAGAAATGTTTAAAAATACACTTTGCTTGAGATAACAGAAAAAAATAAACCTAGTTAAGCACAAGACAATAATAGCTTAAATAATGGCAATAGTCACAAGATGTCTAGTTTCTGTTTTTTGCTTTAAAGATAGTGTCACTAACACAAAATTATGAGATATTTTGCAGAATTTTGGTTCTTCAACCCAGCACCCCTTGTTCTCACAATGTAATTTTGTGTTGCTGATTTACTGTTTCTTTGTCAAGCGGAAGGAGATAACTTCAGGGCCACAAGGAGAATTTATATTTGTTTTACAGAAGGAGAGAATGTCTCCAAGGTAGCTGCGACCAGCTGCTGATGCCCAGGACTCTGATATGAAAAAGCCTCATCTATGACTAAAGAATCACAGACTTCTCTCTCAGTTTCCTGGAACTTCCCCTCCCTTACGCCCCAGCGGCATAAAAACTCCCTACTTTGTCTTTTGGGAGAGATGAATTTGAGAGATCTTCCACTCCCATCCTCTCACTTTAACCAAATCAAATAAACGTTTCTCTATCTCCAAGCACTGGTGTCTCATTGTTTTGGCTTTACCTGTGCATCGTGTGCACAAATCTGGATTTTGGAAGGTGATTCTAAAACAGTAATATTTTTATTAGTCATTATTGACATGTGGACACATTTGATAAATACATCATTAGACTTTTAAAAATATCAATAACCTTTTAATATGTTAATCTTAATTAACAATCATTTTCAAACTGATATGATCAGAAAAGTAATTTTTCAGTTTTATTATGTTTACTTCAAAATAGTAAAACAATCATTTTGCCACATAGACAATGAAGGTTCAGTTGCCAATTCCATTTACTTGGTTTGTCTCAGAAAAGGAAAAATACCATAGAAACAAAATGTTCTATTAGGGATTCCTGTTTAATCTAAAAATATTTGGCAAATGTACAACAAATTTGAGTGCACTATCTACTTGCTTTAACAAACGCCTTTATCAAATTCTTTTTCAAAGTTATTCCCTTAGGTTTTCATTAAAAAGACAATTTGAAGATCAGTTGAATAATTACGACCAAATTAAACACAAAGCCAAGGACAGAACTATAATAGTATTCAGTGGGAACTTGGTGAATCTAAAAGCCAGCACCTATTGTGAGCCTTCAATAGGAGGGTGAATAATAAGGGAGGAAAGACTAAAAGACAGAAAGGAGGAAAGAATAACCTAAGAAAACACTGAATTTTTGAAAAGGTAATGGCTAGTAAAAAACTGTGTGACTTGGGCCCGTAAGGACCTTAGCCCAGCTCATTAGGACTCTATTTAACCCATCTCTCTATCACTATAGCTCCCAGTAATTTTGATTATTGCACTTAGTCAAGGGTTTCAGTTTTTTAAGGCATTCAGTTTCTGCACTTGCATTTTATTAAACCTCACTATTTGCAGTGTGTCTTTACTAAGAACTTAGGGAATGATTTGTAGAAAGAGGAAGTGGCACAGAAAGGGAGAGATAAGCGGGAAATGAGGAAATAAATCTTTTCTTTTCCATTTTTTAAATTACCCACTGAATAATAAAAGGTAGAGTCATTTAGTGCAATTCCTCATCATCTTAAGGTTGAAGAAACAGGTTCAGGTGACACACATAAACCAGTTGTGGGGGCAGAAAATAATCACTCCCATGTTCTTCTCATTGCACGATATTCATTCTCTCTCTCTCTCTCTCTCTCTCTCTCTCTCTCTCTCTCTCCATTCCCCCCTCTCATTTTAGCCCTAAAATCGAGGATCATTTGTAGTCAAAGAGATCAATATTGCTGTCAACGCAAGTCCTGATCTCTCAGCTTTTCTTTTAGTAACTTAGAGGCAATGTTATCGCTAAAATAAAAATACAGTACTTTATTTACACGGCAATTTCATAGCCTGTGCACCGCGTTCACGTCCATTATCTGATTTGATCCTTACAAAAACCCTTTGAGGCAAGGAAAGGAAGGTATTATTGACCTCATTTTAAAAACGAGCAATTAAAACCCAGAGACGTCCAATGACTGGCCTACTAGGATCACTTAAGAATCAGAAGGAAGCAGGACTCTAACGCTTATTCCTATATTTGTTGTCAAAGAGGGAGTTCACTCAAAAAGTACCAATCTGGCTCTTTATCCTCTTGCCTTAGAGATCCTCCATCCTAGGGTACCCCGTTCTAGTTTTGTTAAGTTTGGACATAACCACCCACTGATGGTACTCCTAGTTTGCATCTAGTTTTCACCTTTAAAACTGCAGTTTCTTACCCCTTTCCTTGGTACTGATCCTTATTTAGGCTCCTATTTTTCACTGTGGGTTATGGCCTCCAGGGTTTCACTCCAAAGCTCCACCCTCTCCAAAGAAGCCGCGTCCTCGGTATCCAAGGAAACGAAACAACCTTGCCCACTTTGCCCCCTCCGCTCTTTCCATTGGCCAGTTGAATGCCATGTAGATTTTTCTTTCCATCCCTCCAATGGCTAAGGGGTTTAAGGCAAAGAACGCGCGCCTTCCAAGCACAATGTGACACCTGCTCTTACTACCTGCGCATTGCCTCCTGGGATATGTAGTTTCTGGGCTGCCAAGAACCCCTCGCCTTTTGCCTCCCTTTAGAACTACCTATCCCGTAGGCCTTTGCGAAAGGGGAGGTCGGTAGGCTGGAAGTCCAGGTCAGGGTGGATACTTACAGCTTTAAAATTTCAACTTGCCGTTGAGAACCGGTGACCCTGTTGCTTTAAAATATAGGCGTGAGCGGCTGAGCTTTTAAATTGCTGGCTATAGTGAGCAGCCTTGCTCTTACTTCAGCAAACCCTAGCAAATGTCACCCCTTTGACTTGAGCCGGCACAGTGCCAAGTCGTCTGGCGGTGGCGAGACTGGGCTGTGAGTGAGGTGATCTGAGGGAGCGCGAGAGGGGCGCGCCATGTTCGCCCCCCGCTCGGGCTGGGGGCTTGGCTGCCTCCGGCTCGGTCAGCTCCGAGCGTGGGACGGAGAGGCCACCGGGCACTGGGCGCGTCGGGCTTGTCAGGCCTGGATATCTGGCTTAGGTGGGGGCGAGCGCGGGCCCGGGTCCGAGCCCGAGGTCTGTCCGCCTGGCCCCGCGCACCGGACTCTTAAGTCCTGGGCGCTGCAGGTGAGCCCGTTCGGTTGGCTGCGGGCGCAGCTCCCGTGCCACCTGGCGGTGAGGCCTCTGGACCCCCTTACGTATCCTGACGCCGACCGCGTTCTGGTCGCGGTGAGCGGAGTGGAGGGCGGGGCTCAGGACCTGGGCGACCTGCACGTGAAGTACGACGGGGCACTGAAGGAGGTGGCCATTGTGTCTGACACCATTGACCCCCAGGCGTCCGTGGAGGTGATCGCGCCCCTGAAGTTTGGCAAGTGAAGTGATGTGAAAATGGGTTTGGGGCCCAGGGCACACCCAGGACCTCCTTAAATTAGTCCGAAGTGCATTTTTTAATTGGTCCCTTTGGATCTGACTTTCTAACCTAATTTACAGTTGTCCCTTTCGGAAGTTGCCTCTTTTTTCTGTCCTACGTTGAGTTTCCGAGTAGTAGTTACGAATTCGTTTCCCAATTATAGAAATTTTATGAATCGAATGGAAACATGATTTGGAATTCTAAGTGAAATGACATTTGTGGAGCCCGTTATGTTCTCCTTTGGCACTTTGTTCCTATTTCTGTCACTCATTGTACTTTGTCAATAGTAAAGTGGTTTATTTTTTCAGTGGTTTATTTTTCATTGTTTGATAATCCCTTCAATGGTGTGTGGCAGTCCATCTACATTTCCCCTTGCTCACAACCTGGGGTCTGTCCCAAAACAGCCCTGTCTATTGGATTTTCCATTGCTAACCTGGACCAAGTGTTTAGTTTCAAATAGGCACCCAGCTTCTTAACTGATACATCTCCATTCATTTTGGCCTAAGTAAATCTTTTGTTAGTAGCAGGTGTTGTTGTTTTTTGCTTTTTTTTAGCTGAGCCATCCTGCCACCTGTTGGCAGCTCAGCGGCAGCTCAGCTCCGGCCGGGACTCGAACCGGTGACCCTGTTGCTCAGAGCTGGCACTGTTGAGCAAGCTCTTAACCAACTCGGTTGGCCCTCGTTAGTATCAGGTTTTTTTTAAAAAAAAAAAAAACATAGTAAGGCTACCTGGGAAACTTCACTTGATAATACCTGCAAGATATGTTTTCTAGGTATTTGGGTTGTGTGTTATTTCTCAAATGCAAGCCAACACTTTTGTAGGAAAGTCTACCCAGGCTCCTTCCTTCCTGGGACTGAAGGATGAAATTGTTGATGATCATAATAGCAGCTAATGCTTCTATGATCTTTTCTAATCCTTACAATTGTTCTATAAAGTAGATACTATTATTGTCACCGTTTCAGATAAGGAAATTGAAATACAGCAAGTTTCATAAAGTAAATATTTATTGTGGGTGAAAAAATAGAAAAAAAAATCCATGCCTTTATGAAATTTATGTTCTAGTGAGAGTAGATCAAGAAATATGCCTGTTTGCTGTCAGAGATAAAGTGGTGGGACTGGGATTTGCACTGACTGGAGTCTGCAGATCCACTATGCTTTATTGCTTCTCAACATCTAACTAGCTTAGATGAATAAGAGATCCTGACCTCAAAATGTAACAGTCTGGGGTGGGAAGGAAGATCTGCGAATGTATTATTATAGTGCAAAGTAGACTGAGTACTGAAATAGAGATATCCCAAATTTTATGGCAGCACAAATAAAAATAGAACTGCCTGTGTTGGTGTTCCCAAGCCTCATTATTTGTTGATACTTTTTAGAGCCAGAACTTCATTTCCAATTTACTCTTTCCGTGTATCTATTCTATGGGCCCCTCAAATCAATATAATTCAGTTTTCTTCATAATTTACTTGTTCCTCAAGTTTGTCTATACCTGTTTCAGTGAATAGATGAGAGTAATATTACTGTCAATCAATGTCTTGCCTTAACTTCTCTACCGATAGAGATAGTGAGGGCAGAGTATGTTTAGAATCTGTTTCCTTTCTCCATGTCTATCAATGCTGCCTTAGATCAAGTCTTACATTGTAACACAACTGAGTAAAAATTTTGCAGTTATACTTGCATCCATGTAAGTATGGGGTAAAATTGTCTTTGTATTTTAGATTAATCCCTACCAAAATATTGTTTTTATTTTAAATCTTTATAGAGACTGCAAAATACACTACGGTAGAGATTTATTTTTATGCCATAATTATTGAATATGTGGTGTTATACCCCAGTAGTTTGTGTTTGGGGCAACATAGTATTTACTTCTCTAGTCTAGTTTAAGTGAAATCATCAATATTTATTTGAATTAGGTATTAAATGTCAATGTTTTTTATTTTTTATTTTATACAGAGGCACTTAAAGTTACACCTTAAATTGACAGCCAAGGATGCCACCAGTGACTCCTTATTTTCCAATTTTCTTCAGATAATACTGTTATTTATCTACAATTTTGAGGTTTTAATACCATTTAATACTAGGTTTTACAAGTTGTTTCCTTTTTTTATTACCACAAATACCTTTTGATACACCTATATGGTAATATCTTTATTTTTTTAGACATGAAAGGTTAGAGATAGGATTTGAAATACCAAGTAATGATCATATATACTGATCCATGCTACTTCTGCAAAATGCTTTTAATTTGAGGGAGGTTTGGGAACAAATTTTTAAATCTTAATGAATATAAGAGTGTAGGCTCACTGACTTATCCAGTTTACCATAATGACTCTTAACTTGCTGTATTCTTTTTTTTTCTTTTTTTAAGATTTTTTTATTGGGAATTGAAGGGGAACAGCCAAGTTATTCTCTTTCAGTCTTAGTTGTGAAGGGCGCAGCTAGCTCAGCTCCAAGTCCCGTTGCCATCCGGCTGCCCGTCAGCAGCTTGCGGCCGCTCAGCTCAAGGTGCTGTGTCCAATCATCCCATGAGGGAATTGAACCAGAAACCTTGTTGTTAGGAGCATGTGCTATCACCAGCTGAGCCATCCTGCCATCTGTTGGCAGTTCAGCAGCAGCTCAGCTCGGTTGCAGCTCACTGGCCCATGTGGGAATCAAACTGGCGACCCTGTTGCTTAGAGCTCGCGCTGTTAACCAACTGAGCCACTCAGCGGTCCGACCAGCTTGCTATATTCTTAACTGTGTATGCTTTCTCAGTGGGAAAGAAGCTTCTCTTTTCCCAAGAGTGCCTATAGGATTTGGAATTTCTGACCCCTCTTCCCTCCTATATTACTTTCTCTCTTTAGATGATATTAGGCCAACAGAAACTACTTTATTTCTAAAAACTGGCAGAAAAGGGCATTACATTTGGTGTTGTCATGGTGAAGACTCCTTACCTTTAGGGAGAGACTGCTGACAACTGTGCTTTCCCCAGGGTTCAGTAATTATGGACATAAATGAGGAGCTGGATGTCTAGGGGGTACTAAATATGCTTTGGAGCCCATTAACCATGGTACTAACTTGTTTTTTTCTTTTTTCATTTCTAGACTTGAATATCAAGTCATCAGGGTCTGGCTGTATAAAAGTCCAAAATATTGAATGTGATAATTGCAAAATTGAAATGGAGCAGGGGACTAGCATCTTACAGTCTATTAAGGTATAAGCATTTTTTCTAATTTTGTTTCAGTATTATTTTCTTTTAAAATCCTTAAACTATTAACTATGAGCCTATCAAACTAAGCTATTATTCTGAGTATCATTTACTGAGTGTCATTTATTTATCACTCAGAAATTACTTGCAAAAATTTTGCCTTGAAATCAGTTCTGTTCTGAAAGTATAGAGGTTGTAGCAACTTTAAAGTTTTTTTTCTCATATTCCTTTTAGGTTTCATTTTGAAGTGTACAATGAAAATAATAGTACATTTTAAAATATTACGTTAATCACATTTTTAATGTACCAGTTAGCTTATCACTTAAGGATTAAGTAGGTACTTGTGCTAAACAACAAATTATTCATCTTGCTTTGTAATAGCATTTTCATACTTAATTTTCTTAAAATTAGAGTGGCCTTAGCTTGAAATGATTTCAAATACATCTCTGATAGGTGTTAGCTTATTTCTACTAGTACTTCTTAACCTGCATATTCAAAACACAATAGTTTTGTTAACTTTGATGGCTGGTAACTTTGTTGAAGAGAAGTTAGTCATCTGTGCTTCATAATTGCAAAACATTTTATTTTTAGATTCATAAACTAATTAGAATGATTAATGCATTTAAAATTTTTTTGTTATTTGTTTTGTTCCAATCACCTTTATTTGCATACCTGCCTTTAGCATCTGTCCACATGTAAACCATTCCAAATAAATTTAGATGCACAAGTATCAAAAAAGATTAAAGAATACTGTAACATGTCCTT